TGCCCTCCCATGTTTCAGTTTTTCCTTACTTAGCCTGCAGTATGTGGCCAGACACCTTTAGACTGTCCATTTAGCATCCATCAACTGTTATATTATAAAAATATGATTTTATTAATATGTCCTTGAAAACCTGACTATCAGAAAACTATTCAAAATTTATTCTAGATAAAATGGTGGAAAATATGTCTAGGTAGCTTTAGAGCTCCTTTTACTGGGAAATATTTCTCAAGTTTTAATGGGATTGAAATTTTATTTTGCAATGTAGTCATTATGAGATACTCTTGTTTGCCTTTTGAAAAAAAAATACTAGCTTAGGAATGCTGTCTTTTATTTAAAAATAAAAAAAAATGAAGTGCAGCTGACAAAGTTCAGATAATTGGATAGAGCAGCAGAGCTTAAACCAACAATGTATTCAGCATACTGACATGTGATATCTTTTGAAATCTCCATAGGGTCTTTTAGCTTACAGTGAGCCATTGCAGAATCCTGGACTGCTGTAGAATAAAGGCTTTGCTTTTTCAGGCATGCACCAATTTCCAATAACATAATTATTTTTTCAGCTTCTCCTTTCCACCAGATCAATTAATATTCTACTTGGTAAACATAGAAGTTTCTGCCACCTCAATTCAGAATCCTGCAAGTAATGCCAGAACCCTATGCAAAAATTCAAATCCAGAAAATGTGATTTGTGGAACATCAGCAGAGTCTGTCATTGCTGCACACTATTCTCATTAAGACATAATAAACCTATAACTAGTAGAAAGCCAATAAAACAAGGATGGGGAAAATGGGTGCTGAATGAGAGCCACTGGGATAGAACGAAAGACCAGCAGCTGTCCTCCTGCCACACCACACTGGGTACCTCTAGTAGCCCTGCTTCTCAGGGGTGTGTGTAGCCTGTGATTAAAACATCTGCTACTCAAGTTTAAGGCTTAAAGTACTAATTGTAAAGCTTTAAAGACCATTTTGTGGCTAGGAAACTTGCAGTCTTGCTGCTAAGATATTTGCCCCGTTCCCAAAGTGAAAAGACCGTCTAAGGGTGAGCCTTATTTCTAAGCAGGATGGAACTAAATAAAGTTTAAAAAATTAATTCTATTACTTTTTTATCTCCTAATGTGAACAGCTCTGTTTCTTGAATTGTTCTTGAATTGACCTTAGTACAATTTGTTTGATTCTCAAGAGAGACTGAATGTCAAACTTTACCAAGTGTTGATCTAAAATTACTGGCCAGCTGAACCAGCAGTGATGTTTAGCAAGTTATACATTTTGCAGCAACCTGATGACATTACAAAACACAGACTGACAGGACTTGTAGGAAAATTTCACTCTAACCTCAGCAGGTATACTCTGTAAAGCCTTTGAATTTTTGCTTAGTAAGTGAAACAAACTTGTAACTCCATCAAATCTGTATCTCACCTAACTGAACCATCTGAAAAAAATCATCTTGATCAAGCCAAAACATCAAGAAATTCAGTTAGCCTCCTGATGCAATAGGAGGCTCAAAGAGATGTCAGATCTAACTTGTGGAAGGAAGACAAGCTAAAGATAGAGAAAATACATTTAAACAGCTATGACAGTAAGAGCCAGAATTAATATTTATTGCATAGACAAGCAAATATGCTAAAAGAGAGACAAGAATCCTGACAAGTTGAAAAGGCTTGGTAGCCCTGCGGTGGCCAGCTAACACACAATAGTGCTGTCTCCAGGAAACAAAAGGATTGTGTCATGTGTTCTGTGTCCCAACTCCTGTGGCCATGTTTCAAAACATCTAGTCCTTTCCCGTCTTCCCCAACAAACAACAAAAAAAAAAGCAAAAAAACTCCTTCTGCTTACCGAACTCTACAGCCAGATCTTGACCCCACCATGATAAATGCAGCAAGCAAAGCTCTGCCAGTCCTGGAGAAAACACTTTTTCATAGCAGTGAAGGAAACCACTGGTACATTGCTGTTCCTTTTTCTGGCTATGTTTTTCCCATGGCTGCAGTGCCATGGTTTCTAAATCTGACCACTTAACAGCTGATGTGCATTCATGTTGCATGAAGTGTGGTGGGGAGGTTAAATATAAAACAGGATGTAAAAATTTAATATATATAAATAATTAAATGAAAGTCAGAAAGTCAACTAAATCAAGATAAGCAGTCAAGATAAATGTCAAGAGTTTAATGCAGAAAAAAATATGTATTGTTGAATAAAAAGATCAAACCACATGATTAGCACCTCAAAAATTTGAAAAATAACTTTAAATACTATGAATTACGTGCAATGAGCCAACAATGAAAGCATAGCAGAAGATTTACTAAAGAAATTTATTGTAAGAAAATGCTTTCTTGCAGAAGTGGCAACAAATCTGAGACATTTCTTTGAGACACTCCCTTATTTGGTTAAATAAGGATAAATTCACAGAAATGTGATGCAGTGATACGAAGGAAGACTAAGGACTTGATGCACCCACTGATTCAGTACACTTACATGAAGCTGGATTTCATGGTGATCTGGAAGAGGCAATGGTCAGGTGAGACAGACACCAGACAGATCTCCTGGTTCAGTGCTGGGACAAAGGAAGCGCCAGCAGAAATTCAGAAGTCACTGACTGTTCAGATACTGGCAGCCACACAGACATGTGCCTGGAAATGCCATCACAAACACATCCTGAAATGTTTTGTTGTACTGTTTCTCCAAGGAGGTTTCTTGTCCTGTACAGACACAGGAGTTAAGTGTACAGAACCAACTACGGGGCAAGTGGTAGGCATTGCTTCTAGGAAGCCATTTAATTATGAATAATTTAACATTACTTAAGGGGTTTTTTCCATCCCCAAAATTCACTACAAAAATAGCAAAGAAAGAACGGAAAATAAAGGAGAAAAGAAAAGAAAAGAAAAGAAAAGAAAAGAAAAGAAAAGAAAAGAAAAGAAAAGAAAAGAAAGAAGAAAGAAAAAAGTTGCTGTACATTTAAAGGCATCAGACCTTCTCTTTGCTGTGCAAGTACAAGCAAAGTATGAGCAAAGCCAATGGCACTGACCTTCCTCTTCCTATTGTTGAAAGGAAAGCAAGAGATTCTTGACAGTTTCCAGGGCAAAACAAGGGAGACCTTACAAACATGTCTCTGTGGGGGCTCTAGACAATAGCAAAGGTTCTTTCCCAGGGTTGAATTTCTCTACTCCTTTGGCACACTTTCACAAAAGCGTTGGGTTGGGTCCTTTGAGGTTATCTGCAATGTGCTTACGCTCACAGCATTAACATGCCTGTTAGCTCCGTACCCTCAGCATGCTTTTACTGTCATTAAAGAGTGATTATAATGCAGAAAAAATATGTCTTGGAGATGAGACACTGGACTGAAGAAAAGCAAGCCTCCAGGCTCTCACCTCTTCTCATGGCTCTTCTGGCAAGCAACATGCATGACATTTCTATTAACCATATATTTTTAGTTCATAACCTCTTTGAACAAAGATTGTTTCTTTCCTTGTGTATGTAGGTATAGAATAACAGAATTTTGGAGCAGTGGCCTGGGCCAGAATGCTTTTTAACTATCAGCTGTACATTAAGAAATTTAACAACTATGAAAAAACCAATTTTGCAGGCCTGTCTGTTAATAAAAATATTTAAAACATCATACAGCAACTTTCTTTTTTTATTCTTTGAGAGTACTGAAGTTCGAAGTGCATTGATCTTTGGCCTTGCTGACTCTCAATTTCCCAAACACAAGTGTATATTTCTTTGACCATATGCTATTGATTTCCAGCCATGTGGGGCACAACATTTCTTTGCAGTATTGACCCTGTTGGGATGAAACTGCCATCAACAAGCAAGTTGTGAGAACAAGAGCACGTGTGGTGAGACTTTGCTGTCCACAGCTGCAGAGGCTGATGGGTTTGGATACAGCTGTGGAACACAGGGGTATTTTTAATTACCTCAAATAATTTAAGTAAGACTGTATTCAGCATCACATTAAGGATGCAAAAGCTTCACGGTGGTGCAAGAATTCACAGAGGTGAATGACCTGATCTAAACCAAACTGAACTATTCCTGCCTGTTCCAGTAAGCTTCTCCCAGGTGCACAGCTGCATAAAAATATTGCCAGCATGGTATGGGAAGTTTGTATTTCTGAAAAAAAATTAGGATTAGTATTATGCAAGTGTGTAGAGTGAATCATCCTCACTGCATGGAGAGAAAGTATTTGAAATCATTTATACCATTTTAAAGCACCATTTTCCTTATTTACTAAATACAAGCCTGCTCATCCCTTTGGTATGTGTACCAGCTGTGTTTCTATTTACCACTGCCCACTTCTTTCAGAACTTCTGCTCTGCCTAAGAGTTTACTAACAGGCAGGCCAAACATGCTGCTTTAACTGGTCTTGTGAAGTCCGGGCTCTGCCCTGAAATCGTTGTCTGTATCCACCAATGACACCACTCAGCAGAAAGTGCAATTACTCAGCTGTTCTCTTGAATAATAATGAAGCAAGTAGGCAAAATTGGTGAAAAATGTTTATGCTGGGCTAAACTCTACTCAGTTACACAAGATTATCCATATTTGAAATACACAGGACTGGTCTTTTGTGGCAGCAGTGGTTTATATCCTACACAATAGTAATGGGGAAAAGAACAAAGTGTATCTAGAGCACTAGAAATACTTTAATAGGACTAGGATTAAAATTAATTGCCTCATTTTAAAAGTTCAGTTTATCAAATCCACTGTCTTAGTCCCAATTAAAATTCTGTCAGCATGCCTGTGGCTCTCCAAAATAGCAAGAGAGCATTTTTCACATGTTAAGGCAGGCAAAAGACATTTCTACTTTGGCTGGGATAAAACATATATGAAATGCACTGTTCATTGGCCACTTCTTCCAGCCTCATCTAAGAACACTTGTGGCTGTTGGAGAGAGACTATTTATAGGGAAGTAAACAGCCCCAGACATAATACCTCTTGTCTAAGTGTTAGAACCTCCTTTGCCTAGTTCTCAAGGGATGAAAGTGAAGATTTAATCAGTCTTTACACTTATATATTTTTTAAATTATTTAACTTTTATTACTGTTGCACCATTTATACAATTACATATAATTTCAATGCATCCATTGTACATTTTGTTTTTTCATTTGTTTTCCAATGAGTGTGTGTTGGTGTCTGTGACACAGAATGGAAGAGAAACTGGAACTGCAATGAACGCAGACTTTTTCATTTCCACTGACCAATAAACAGAACTACAGGTGCACCCAACCACGGACATGCATTAACTCGTCATGAGAAATCTAGGTAGGCTAAGTAGGATGAGAATGCTTTTTACTCCCAAAAAATATTTGGAGAGGAAGAATTGGAGGATTGGCATTGAGAAATATGTGGACAGCTAAGTGGGTTTTGTCTGAAAGTTGGCATTCATCCACTGCATAAAAAAAATATCAAAATAAGAAAGGCTGTAAATAAAAAAAAAAAAAAAAACACACAGAAAATACTGCTTTCATAAAGATCTGATTGCCTTGGCACAAACCTAGTGGGCAGAATCAAACGCATCACTCCCAAACCCCATTACAGAACAAAAAGAAGATTTTGATACACTGGTGGAGTGCATTTACAGCAGTTCAGATACAAAAGATGTGCTGTACTTTCAGACATCCATTTATTTATTTATTTATTTTAATCCAGGACTTGTGTCAAGTTGGCAGAAAGTATATTAGATATTTCCCCACAAAAATACTATTTGGATTTTCCCCCCTCCCTCCCTCCCAACTTGATGGGACATCCTTTTCACTTTTTCTCTCTTTTTTTTTTTTTCTCCTTCTTTTCTGGGCAATACATATTTGCTATTTCAGATCTGAAACGAGTTAGTATAGCTGAAAAAATAAAAAAAAGACACAGGTTGTTTTAAGTGGTTGTTTCAACAGGCTGTCCAATTTAATCTTGCACTGCTATGGTTTGATCCGAATTAGTCGCTGGAACTTCAGAAGGTTTCGCTTCCTCTGGAGGGGCTGCAGGGTCCGAGGCCTTAGCAGTCGAACTAGGTGCTGCTGTTGCCGCGGGCTCCTTGGAAGAGGGCGCAGCCTCGTTGCTGCTAGGTTTTGAGTCTGAAGCTGGGGCCACTTCACTTTTAGTTTCTTGGGTTGCAGGTGTTGCGGGAGCCTCAGTCTTTTTGGCTTCCCCTTCCTCTTTGCTCTTGTCATCTGCTTTACTGGGAGCTGTGGCTTCTGAAGGCTGGGAAGCTTTTGCATCGCTGCTAGGCTCAGAGGGTTTGGGTGCTTCGCTACTGGCAGCAGGAGCAGAGGCAGCAGTCGGCTCCTCTTGCTTGGGTGCCTGTTCGGTGTTCTTCTGTGGCTCTACTTTTGCATCGACAACAGCCTCTGACTTCTCAGGTTCTGTTTTCTGGGTTTCTTCCTGGGTCACTGTTTTCTCCTTCTCCCCTTCTTTTTCTTCCGTCTTATTGGCAGTGACCTGAGTATCCTTTTCTCCCTTCTCCTCCTTGTTGTTCTCCTTCACTTCTGTGGTCTCTGTGGTTTTCTGGGCATCCTCAGCCTCCTTTGGAGTCTCCTCTTCCTCAGTTGCTGCTCCTTCAGCCTTCTTGTCTTTGTCTTTAGCTTTTTCATCATTGACACTGTATCCCTTCTTCTTCTTGCTCAGTTTGCCTCCCATGTTGGAGCTCTGTAACAGAAAAGAGAAAGGGGTTGATTACACAAAGCCCAGTATTCACGACTGAGAGAATCAACAGAGAGCAAAGGAAAAATTGATTCTGGTTCCTGAAAAGGAGACCACATGAGGTTTGGTAAGATGTTGCCAGCTGAATGTACCGATGCTGCAGAGCCCCACTGCCACTGAGCTTACGTCCTGCTCAGCCCTGCAGAATTTCAGTCAGCAAACACCCTTCTGCAGCCTCCCCTTACAAACAGTCCTGCAAACACCTCCAACCCTGGTTACAGTTCAGCGGGGAGGAAGGGGACAGAGTAGCAAGAAGTCCCAGGACGACGGAGGACTAACGTACAACCACAATCTTCTGTGGCCTGAGAAAGACTGGAAGTAGAAAAAAGACAAATTTATATTCAGGCTGGGAATGAACTAAATTTGGCTGCCAGTTGTGGCATCTACCCGTGGTTAACACAAAGTCCACCATCATTTCAGCAAAGGCTCTGAACCACCTTTTCATTAAGGTTTGGAGAACTCAAAGGAAGCCCAGAGTCAGAGAGAAGACTAATAAAGAAGACTGCATCTACTCCCTACCCCTCTCAGCCTGTTACCCTCACGGCCAGTTTTCCTTGGATATACAGCCTTTGTAGAGAGCTGATGGTACCAGGGGCCAGGAGCGTGTACTTCCCTCACCCACAGGGATGTGGGCACCCACATCCGGCTGCCCTAGAAGCAGGAACAGCTCCCACACCCAGAGTCCCACCCAGCTTTGCAGCTTCCACAGGGATTGCCTGCCCAAAGCCCTGCATTCCCACACTCAGCAGGATGGGAGACACAGAGCCTGAAGCACAGTAAAACCACTCCATAAGACAAAAGAAACAAATACAGGTACTTCTGACCACAAGCTTACGTGACATGATGCAACACAAAATGGGAGAAGGGCACTAAGACAAAAGAAACAAATACAGGTACTTCTGACCACAAGCTTACACGTGGCACGTGACATGATGCAACACAAAACGGGAGAAGAGAAGGGCATATTTGTAGCCTCTGCTCCAGTTTTCAAGCATGACAAGCAATAACTGCTCAGTTATTTAAAAGAAGTTGACCACGTGTATAACCATATCAGTATTTATATAGCCTTTATGTGGGAGTCTTAACTAAGAATACACAAAATCTTTCACAGTACTTCAAAGCAAACTTTGTCTATGAAAACAGGAGACAGATATATTGGGTCATTATTGAAAACAAAAACCTCTATGAATGGAGAAAAATTACACTCTTAGTATTAAAGGAAATATTTAATTCATGATTAATGAAAGGTTAAGAAAAATATTTCTGTGTTTTCTACTATTTGAAAATAGGAGACAGTGACTTTTCTCAAAGAACTGTCAAACAAATGTTTAATGTAAGAACTTCTCCAAGGGAGATGAATCATTCTAATTTTCCGTTTTGCACAGGTAGATATAATTACAGGCTGTATTTTTTTTCACACACTTGCTAAAACTGTGAATACAAACCAGTAAAAATCCACATGATTGCTCATAGCAGGCTGAAAATAAAGTAATATTACATACAACTAAGAACTAGCTGCCTCTCAGTAGTTTATCTGCTACCACAGATACAAGCCTCAGGCAGAGCCCAACAGCAAAATATCCTCACACCCTGGGCAAAACTGAGACATCATGGTCAGCAGAGATCTTTCTGACTTCAGCTTTCAAAAAGAGTAACAATTTGCAAATACTGTTGAAAGGTTGTCACACAGCCCTGCAAAATGGTAATGTGATGTTACTGAAACACTGCTTTATTGTCTGAAATTTTACGGGAACAGCAATAAAAGGATTATCTTCCACAGAGTCACAGCTGAGCAATCTAATCTCTATCTTCATGACAGAGTTATCAGGTTTTTAGGTATTTAGGGCAGGCTGTGGACATTAGTTTATTATCTGACAAACATATAGCCTTCTAAATTACTCCATAAATATTGCCCTGATTATTTTTTATGTGCAGTTACAACCAAATATTTTGGAAGGGCTTTTGCAAGTCAGTCAGATTGGAGATTTATATTGAAACCATGCGTGTATCCCAATTTGTAATCCCTAATTAAGCCTTCATTTGTTTTCCAGCAAAGTCCAGGTACAGTGAGCCTAATTTCATTTGTTGTGCCTTCTGTATTTTTCAAGATTTTGCTATTTCATGGATAGTAGTAACACACCACAATTTATATTTCTTTCCATAACAATGTTTTGACCTCAGATATAGTTGAATACAGAATGTCTATGCCAAAGGACCTTTAAAAAGTAGAGAAGCATGCATACGAGAAATGTGCTCCCAAACTAAGAAAGGAAACATTCACTGTCTTTGCTTGCAGATACACTGTGAAATCTCTGTGTCTCAACTGGCATCAGAGCCAGCTGTCCCAAGGTACTGGAGCAGGAGATGGGGAAGAGGTTCAGAGACTACCATTATGGTCTATTAGCAAATATTTACACTTACAAATGGACTGTCATCTTCCAGCAGAGTTTCAACTACTTCATAACAGAATAAATTCACTCTTTGGGGCACTGAATCTCATATCTCCCTGTTAAAAAGCTGCCTAGGTCATCGTGGTAACAGCTGTGCCAGGCTATGATGCAAAAGCAGAGCAATCATTGGGGTCATCACCCAGGTAGCAATGCTATAAAGTCTCTTTTTTCCCAGATCTGATTTACAAATATTCTTCCTGTCCCCTGACTTCTGATAACACATCTGGGCTTCCCTGTAACCTTTTTTAGAAACAGTTCCACAAGCTCCACTTCTTCAAACAGATTCTGGTCTTGTCCCTGTCCCAGCCTGAAGCACAGCTCTGAACCATCCAGTGCAGACTCTAAAGGTGTGGCAGACACAAAGCAGGCCTTAAGAAGTATTTTAAAATTTTAGCTATCTGTACCTGCAAGAAGACCAGCATGTGAACCGCAACACCTAAGCGTCTCCATGGCATGCTGGATATTGTTGCAGGGATAATCCTGCCTGGTACTAAATGAAAGTGGATGTCAGTGAAATGTCTCCCAAGTGAAGCAAAGTGCAAAAAGTCATTGAGATGCGAATTCGTACAGTGTTAAATCCACTCTGTGTTACTACCTACACGCTAACACTTAAAAAGAGCACAGACATCTTTTCCACCCCCCAAGGGACTTATTTTTTTCATAATTTAGTCCCAGCAATGGACGAAATTATGAAAAAAAATAAAGGGGATGCACCCTCTGTCCCAGTGAGACTGAGGTCCTGACTTCACTGCTCCGTCTCTTCCTTTACCCCTGCCCCTCCCTAACCCCATAATCACTGCATTCACCTTGTGAATGAGGGACCCAGGACCAAAGTTTGCCTACAACTATTGACCACTATTTAGAGGCTGAACCCCAGCAGGTCCTCAGTTTTTTGCACTTCCACTGACAGGTACAGGTTTTGAGCTAGCTTGAGCAGCTGCCAGCTGAACATAATGCTCTCTGTAGCAAGCATGTCCCAAATGAAGATCCTTGAGAATTTTGGTGCTGAGCACCATTGTTATAAAATGGCACAGCATTTGATGGCTGTGCCTTCTTACTGCTGGAAAGAAAAGGGTCTAGAGACAGAGAGTCCAGAATCCAATTTTATATAAGAAATTGCAACTTAGCAGTAATTTTCAGGGAACTTTGGTCAACAGCTCTGCAGTGCAGTACTTCAGAATAGTGAGGGAAAATACAACACTTGGAAGCTACAATACACTTCATCTGCTTCCCAGGCTGGTCAGTATACTTTGTATTGCTCTTCTTATGGAAAAAGAAACCAATCCAGAGACCATTGTGTCTGCCTGTAGAAGAACTACTCCTTGCAACAGGAGAAAGGATTTCTTCAATTTATAGAAGCTGTTATACATTTTGCACATCCTGAAGTTTCCATTCTCCTGCAGGAAGCAGGAACAGAACCAGCATAGTTATCTCTCTTATTGTATAGTAGAAATACTCTCTGTGGTGGATTATTTAGATTAAAACAGTTCAGGTGTACAGGTCACCTGGAGAATGCTAAACACTTTGAAATTTCCCTATTTGTGATAATCAGGACTCAAAGATTCAATGTCCATAAGACCATAATGCAAGATGAGGAAGAACTCATGAAACATTTCAAATTCTCCATCTGAAGACTCATAGACATGAGTCCCTGGAACATGGACAGCACACATTTGTACAGTTTGTAAAAAGAACTGTTATTCTGGAATAACAGTATAAAACTGGAAGTTTTATACTTCAGATTTTTCTTTTATATTGAAAAAGTCTCTAGAGTCAGACTTTTACTATCTCTTTAGTCAGTAAAGGTTTGTCTGCCCAATTAGTTTTATGTGTTTATAAATTTCTAAACATTTCTTTTAGCAGAGGCTTTCACACACCATTAAAGAGTCTGACTATTACAAGACTGGGTTTGCTATCACCCTCCCTCACAGTATTGAGAGCAGGGCAACAGGAAAGGACAAAGTCACAGATTGCACCTGATGTTACCTCAGTCTGATTGCCAAAGCTAAACTTCCAAAGCTCCTGTTCGACTGCGTGCAAAGCGTCGGGAGTTCAGTCCATTGCCAGAAAAACCAGTTCAGGAAGACAATAGGTACCTTCTGAAATTCCACTGCCTCCAGCGCAGGGCAGGCACGTGCGCTGGGTCAGGCCAAAGTAGCCCTTGCACAAGCCTGTTCCCAGGCATGAGTTATCTCACACTGCCTGCAGACAAAAATGCACATCCCTCCAAAGGCAGTTTCAACACTCCAAATCAAATGAAATACCTATCCCAGAAACTGCCCCATCCCCCAGGTGCTGAAAAGAAATAGAAAGATCTTGAAGAAATCATTACATCTCTGTAGCCCATTGATTCACCCTACATCTTCATTTACAAAAAAAAAAAAAAAAAAAAAAAAAAAAAAAGAGTTTTTTTTTTCTTTTCTTTTCTTTTCTTTTCTTTTCTTTTCTTTTTTCTTTTCTTCTCCCTTCCCTACCCTACCTTACCCTACCCTACCC